AGGTGGGGGAGGGGTGGGGGGAGGGGAGTCCCGGTGCCCTTTATGAGCTTCCTCGGAGGTTACTCCCACTTTACTCCCGGGTTACTCAGACTTTACGCCAAACTTGGGCCCGCTTTACTCTGGGGTTACTCCGGGGTTACTCAGACTTTACTCCAAGGTTGGTCCCGCTTTACTCCGGGGTTACTCCAGAGATATTCAGACTTTACTCCAAGCTTGAGCCTTCATCACTCCAAGGTTACTCCGGGGTTACTCAGACTTTACTCCAGTGCTGGGCCGACTTCACTCCGGAGTCACTCAGACTTTACTCCAAGGTTGGGCCCACTTCACTCCAAGGTTACTCCAGGGTTACTCAGACTTTACTCCAAGGCAGCTCTGTGGCCACACCTGCCCTACTCCAGCCTTACTCCAGGACTACTCAGTCTCTGCTCTGCTCCTGCTCTCGGTTACTCCGAAGTTACTCCAAGGCTGATACTCAGAGCTTTCTCAGCACTTCTGTCGAGGTTGCTCAGGACTCGATTCCCACCCAGATCTTACTCCGGAGTTACTCACGGTCAGGGCGGGGTCTTTACTCAGCTCTTACTCCGCAGTTCCTCAATCCCTGCTCGGAACTGACCCCAGGCTCCGGGAGACCTTTACTCCGAGTTTACTCCGAGTTTACTCAGCCTCTGAGGTACTCGGGACCTCCAGGCAGAACTTACTCCGGACTTACTCCCACGGCTCCTCGCTCCCCTCCCCCCTTCCTGCGTTTCCTTTGTCGCTACTCACACTTTACTCCAGGTGTCCGATCCTCTCTGCTCTGCGCTTCCTCCGCCCTTACTCAGCCCCGCCCTTGCTCTGAGGTTGCTCAGCCTTTACTCGGAGATTCCTCTGCCTTTACTCAAAGGTTACTCAGCCTTTACTTGGAGGTTATTCCGCTCTTACTCAGACGTTGCTCAGCCTTTACTCCGAGGTTACTCAGCCTTTACTCCGACACCACTCGGCCGCCACTTCTCACTTGTCCCCATGCTGGGGCTGAGCAGTCGCTACTCCAGAGTTACTCACACTTTACTCCGAGGTGACTTCCTACTCCAAAGTTACACTTCGAGGACGCATTTTACTCCAGAGTTACTCTCACTCTACTCCAAGGGGACGTTTTACACCAGGGTGAAGTTTTACTCCAGGGTTACTCACGCTTTACTCCAAGGAGACATTTTCCTCCGGGATTACTCACGGTTTGCTCCGAGGTGTTTTACTCCGGGTTACTCAGACTTTACTCCGGGTTTACTCACGGCCCGCCCACCAGGGACACTTCTCCACGCACCGGCTACTCCTGGGTTACTCCCCCTTTACTCCGAGGTTCCCCTCCAGCCTCACTCAGGGCCGCCCCTCCCCCCGCCCCTCCCTCCCCTCCCCC